TTTATTTATTTATTTGGTTTTTAATGTAAGAGAAAGTATGTAATATTTAACTTCCTGAATATGGCTTAATTTCCAAATGATGATCTCTAATTTTATCCATTTTCCTGTAAATGACATGATTTCATCTATCTTTATGGCTGAGTACTATTCTGTTGTGTCTATATTTCTTGACCTGTTCATTTTTTATTGACGTCAAGACTGTTTCTTAAGCTAGCATAGTGTGCATGGTACAACTATGAATATGGGTATGGATATACTTAGAAAGGTACAACTCCATCAAGTGTCATTTCAATGTTAAATTTTTCATGAACTTTCCATACTGATTTTTTTTTTTTTTGTGGAACCAGGGATTGAACTCAGACCCTTGTGCTTGGCAGAGAAACACTTATTCTACTGAGCCATCTCCCTAGCCCCTCTATACTGATTTTAATCATGATTATACTACCTTCCACTCCCTCCAACATGCTTAGAAGGGTTCATTTTCCCCTACATTCTGGTCAGGATCTATTCCATTTCATATTCCTGATGATAGACACTTTTATTGGTATGAGATGAAGCCACAATGTAGTCTTGCTTTACATTCCTGTAATAGCTAAAATGTACTTTCAGATACTAATTGTGATTTGAATTCTGTCTTTTAGAAGTATTTCTTCATTCATTAGCCTTCTTTTATATTGGTTATTTTATGTTTTGGTGTGAATTTTTTGATTTGTTTATATATTCTAAATATTAGTTCTTTGAGGATTGGCTATAAATTTCCCCCATTTAGTGGGTCTCTATTTACTCTGTTTATTTTCAAATGCTTTTTATTTTGATGGGATCTCTTTTGCTGAGTTTTAAATATTAATTCTTATTCTTTAGTAATCCTATTCAGGAAGTCATTGCTAGTGCCTTTGCCATGTAGTTCCTCTATATTATCTTGTAGGAGTTTCAAGTTTCTGCTTTATGTTTAGGTCTTTGATCCATTTTGATAATTTTAGTACTGGGTCAGAGGTAGGAATCTAGTTTCAATCTGCTGCATGGAGAAATCCAGTTTTCCTGGCACTACTTGTTAAAGTGCCTCATTTCTCTCCAGTTTGTTTTGACTCTTTTGTTCAAAATTAGATGTGTTCATTTTTACATTTTCTATTCTATTCCATTGGTATTATGTCTTTTTAGATTCAGTTTCATTTTTGTTTTTCTTACTATGGCTTTGTAGTATAGCTTGAGGTCCTGTGATCCTTCTAAGATTGGATTTTTACTCAGCATTGCTTTGCATAATATGAGTATCTTAATGGCTTCTTATGAATTGCAAAATAGGTTTTTTCCAGTTTCTATGAAGTATATGAAGTATGATATTGGCACTTTAATGAGAATTGCATTGATCATATAAATCTCTTTTGGTAATGGTACCATTTTCACATTGATTCTTCTGATCCATAAATAAGTGATGTCTTTCCTTCTTCTAATGATTTTCTCATTTTTCTTTCTTCATCATTCTATAATTTTCAGCACAGAAGATTTTGCCTCTGTTAGATTGATTACTGTGCATTTAGTTATTTTTGAAATTATGAGGAATGCAATTGATTTTTTGGTTTTTTCTTAGGCTCCTTTTTAGTGTACAGGAATGCTCTTGAATTTTTGTGTTGCTTTTTTTATCTTGTCACTTTGCTGGTTTTGTTAATCATATTTATAAGACTTCTGGTGTACTTTTTGGTTGTTCTATGTAAATAGTCATATAATCTGCAATTAGATAATTTCACTTCTTTGTTTCTACTTGCATCTCTTTTTTTTTCTCTTACCTGATTTGTCCTGAGTAAGTTTCAATATTATATTAAACAGAATGCATGAATCTTTGGGAAACATTTCATATTTAAATCATCATAATATGGACCAAAAGTTTAGAAAGCATCTTAAAGACTTTGATTAAATAAATATGTCATCAAACTCAATCATATCTGAGAATTCATATTTGTCCAACTTTAACTCAGTTGCCAGTAATCTTCTGTGATATTTTCTAGACTACATTAAAGTAAATCCATTCATGAAACTAGAACTCACTGTCTCAAATCCTGGAAAACCAACAGAACAGAATACATATACAAACAGTACCAAATACAATGAATGTTCCTGCCTCTAATTCTCTCCATAGAAGTGGTTTCTTTCATCTGGACATCTGCCTTTACTTCTTTGCAATCTTGTTTTTCTAATTTATTCCTATCTTGCTATATTTTAAAAACATATAGAACTTAAGCATAAATAAGAGATATTGGTGTATACATTTTCTAATTTATTCCTATCTTGCTATATTTTAAAAACATATAGAACTTAAGCTTAAATAAGAGATATTGGTGTATACCTTACCTGTGTACAGAATACGGCTGATCATTCCTGGCATCACAATGAAGAACATGGGCAGCAGCTTCAGGTAGCCACACATGACACAGGCTGCCTTCACATGAGACATGTTCTTGCCAGACAGACAACACTGTACAATAACCTTCCAGGGAAACAGGACATATTCATGAAAAAAACAGATAATGATTTCAAGGAAGGTAAATATCCCTCTTTAGAGTTTGAAGTTACAATAAAAATTGGCCTAATTAGTGGAAAATAATAGGGTTTTGGACAAGGTCAGGATTAGATTTAGTCCTTTTATACATTATATTCATTAATCTATCTTTATAAAAGTATTCAGAACTGTATTAACTTTTCAAGAAGAAGAAAATGAAGATTTATGTTGAATAAAAACTACTTACCTATTGAAACTGTCCTACCAATTTGATTTGAAACTGTTTTACTGCTATTTGTTTCTCAATAAAATTATGGAAAAAAATGAAAATGGTTACACTGAGTATAAAGAAAAAAACCCAAAAATAACAAAAAACAAAAACTATTTACCAAAGGGCACAAAGTTTTAGTTTTAAAAGATAAACAAATCCTGAAGAGCCATATAGCACAGCAGGTATACTTAACAATGCTTACTAAATACTTAAAACTTCACTAATTGTAAAAATCTTATGCATTTTTTTTTTCACAGAATAATAATAAAGATGCTAAATGGAAGTTTTTAGAGGTTTGGATACGTTTATGGCTTAATGTGTTGATGTACCTACCTCCAAACTTCAATTTGTATGCATTAAACATTCATAGCTTTTTGTGTCATTCATGCATCAATTACATGGTTTTTAAAATTTGCTATTATTTATTGTGTACTTATGATTGCATTTGTTGCTATTCCACATTCCCTACACACACACACACACACACACACACACACACACACACACACACATTTAAAATATGCAGAGTCCACAAACATTAACTATTATGAAAAGAAGTTGAGAGCTCCCACACTGCAACGCAACAAAAGAAGAATGCTTCTCCAGTCTGAAATACATAACTATGGTCTCTTACTCAAGCTATTAATATTGTTAATACTGTTGTTACATGGTCAGGATCTCCCTGAATTGACTTCTTGGGAAATTAAGGTAGTTCCCATGGAAACACTATAATCAGAAAGGCATACTAGACTATGCTACAGTTATTTCCAGATTTTTTTCAGAATATTCTAATGACCTCATAGAATTATAAATAAAATGACAGTATTAGGAAAATAATGCATATAATATCATTTTTACTTAACACATGCAATCTTTCTACTAAGTAATTCCTAGAAAAGTAGGACTTCTATTCACACTGTGATAACTTCCTGATTTTTTTTATTCTCAAGAGTTTTCAGCTCAGCAGACTAAGCACCTGCTTAGGCAAGCTCCAGAACTGGTGTTTGTTACCTTATATGGCATGTTGCACTGGCCCAGCCCCTGGGTACACTGAGCTAGCAACAAAGTCCAGGAGTGGTGGCGCACACTTGTAATCCCATCTCTGGGAAGGCTGAAAACAGGAGGATCACTATGAGTCTGAGCTGCCTAATGAGACCCTGTACCACATACATAAATTAAAAAGGAAAGAAAGAAAGAAAGAAAGAAAGAAAGAAAGAAAGAAAGAAAGAAAGAAAGAAAGAACTTCAGGATAAAGGGATGGCCTTCTACTCTTATTTTCTCTGGAGAAACAATCCATTAAGAACAACAACTGTATTGTTCAATGGAGGAGCAGATGGCATTTCTGAAGGACTATTAAGTGACATTTGGAGGGACATACTAAAACCATAGATGAGAGGGGAAGCCCAGTCAGCAGACAAACAGAGTCAAGTGTCAGATCCAAAGATGAATGTGAGACCACTTATAGGAGACAAATCATGTTCAGGGACAAAATAAATGTATAATAAAGATAATTTCACAAATGCTTGGTGAAACAATGTACTTTTTGATAGATACATGGAAAGAATCAGTTTATTTTGTGTATATATAGAGAAAAAACTATGACTATTATCCCAAACAATAAAAAAATGAACTTAAAAGCCTGAAATTCAGAGACTATTTAGAGAAAATAGGTGAATTACAAAATTCAAGGTAAATCCAGATTGTACTGAAAGAAATATTTTGAAAACAACATGGACTAAAGACCTTTGAAGTTCTACACACAAAGGCAGAAAAACTAGAAGCTAGAAAACAGAGAAAAGAGCCCACGAGACAGAAAAGATAAGAACACCAGAGAACCAGTTGAGGACCTTTAAAGAAAGTAAAATATAATAAAAATCATTACATATGTTACAGAATTTCAAGAAACAAGATGGTAGGAATTCAACAATAGTTGCTATATTGCACACTATTGTCTTCAAAGTAGTTGCTCAGTGGTCTAAAGCACCTACTTAGAACAAGCTTAGCAAAGCACAGGGACTGCGCTTTAATCCCCCAGCACCACATGCCAGCCAGCCC